GAATTTAAGATGTCAAGTATGTTTTAAAACAGTTCTGGCTTTTTACTAGACATTCTGGTTTTACTACTGGCAATAAATCTCTTGTTATGAAAGAATACTTAAAATTAGAAAGGACTTTCACTATTTCAAACATGGAGAATTGTTGCATTTGTACACACATAAGTGTTTCCATTTACCTAATCAATTTCATAGAAGCACTTAGAGCACTTTGTAAGTGCTCCCCTCTGGGAATTCCATCATCCAGGCTTCAGAGCTGCAGGAGAGGAGGCCCAGAGACATAACAGCCATCAGAGCAGCAAGAAATGGAGTGTTCTGCCTTTTGTGGCAGGACTTGGCAACATGCCACTGGTCTCCAAATTTCAAAGTCCCACAGGAATCAACAGAGTCCATGGATGTGATTGGTAGGAGACAGGAGTAAGAGCCTGGGATAAGGAATAGTTGAGACATAACAGAGAGTGGAAAGGATTTCTTTTTTTTTTTTGGAGAGGTTTTTGCTATAGGGCATGTGCGCTCGCCAGATAGACAGAGACGGAGAGATAGAAAGCGAGAAATCACCCCCCGGGGGGATGACCACGCCGCTATCCCTTCGTCATTCTCCTCCCGGGATCTTGGGCACGCACGCACACGCACCTGGCATGAATTTAAGCCACCGAGTCTGGGACTTGAACCGTGGTCCACTACGTGGGAGTCCAGCGACATAGCCATTACGCTAACTGCTGGTCCCAAGGAAAGGATTTTTTTTTTTTGTGTGGTGGGGGGCTGTGGTTAACGGAACATGCAATCTAGACAGACAGAGACATAGAGACAGAAAGCGAGAAATCACCCCCCAGAGGGGATGGTCACGCTGCAATCCCTTCTCCTCCATTCTCCTCTCGGGATCTTGGGCATGCACGCACACGCGCCCGGCGTGAGTTTTAAGCCACCGGGTCCGGGACACGAACCGTGGTCGACTACGTGGGAGTCCAGCGACATAGCCATTACGCTAACTGCTGGTTCCCAGGGAAAGGATTTCTTAGAGAATGTCATGAACCTCTGTGGAAAGGGGAACATGCAAACTTTAAGAGGAGAGGGCCAGACTGGAGGAGTCCAGGAAAATGGGAGTGGGAAGGGCTGAAAACCTCTCTTGCCTATTCAATTATAGGTTATTATTAGGTTACTAAAGAAAGCCTTAAGGAGGAAAAGTCACCACAAAGGCTGGGAGTCGCTGGAAGAGAGTTTGAAAGGCTGTCTTAGGGGCTTGCAGAGACAGGAAGACCTCTGGCTTCAGAGGGTGGAGACCAGAAAAGGCACAATAAGGAAATGATGAATATCAGTTCAGGGCATCCCCATGTGAAGCAATGGTATCTTTAAGACTCAGAGGAAAAGAAAAGTGAAGTGTAACAACTCGAGTCAGTGTAACGTAGGATGCACCCGCATACTGTGAATCTCCTGCTCCACCTCTCCCCCGTACGGTATTCCATAAAATTAAAAACAAACTCAAATACTCCCTTCAATTTGGTGACAAAAGTAAGAATATTTCCTCTGGAATCTTATCCTGTTGTAATGATTCTATTGCTTTTGCTCTCCTGGCAGCCATTCTCCCTTCCAGTGGGGACAGCACTGTTTTTCTGTAGGGAACTAACTCTTTGACTCTATCTATTCTGGTCAGCCGACCTGACTTACTCAAGAACAGGCATGTGACACAAGACTGGCCAATCAGAGAACAGCATTCCCCCTCACCCTCCAACCATAGTGATTGACTCAAAGACAAGGTAAGAAGAGCACTACTTTGCTGGTGCCATTAAGAAAGAAGTGGGACCAACAAATGGTGTAATGGTTACGTCACTGGACTCCCATGTAATTGACCATGGTTCAAGTCCCAGACCCAGTGACTTAAAACTCACACCAGGCACGTGTGTATAATACATGCCCAGGATCCCAAGAGGAGAATGGAGAAGAAGGGATTAGTGTGGCCACCCTGCTGGGGAGTGATTTCTTGCTTTCCGTATCCTTATATTTCTTTGTGTCTCTGGCAAGTACACATGCCCTATAGCAAAAATCTCTCTTAAAAATAAAAAAGTGTTGGGGCTGTCAGGTGGTGTGGTGGTTAAGGCGTTGAACTCTGACAAGGCTGACTGTGGTTTGAATCCTAGACCTGGCAGCTTACTCTCTCACTTTCTCACTCTCTCATCCCCATCTCTCTCTGGTAAAATTAAAAAGTAATAATAATAAAATTAAAATAATTTTTAAAAAAGAAAAGAAAATGTACTTTCTTTTCCACTGTTAGGATTGAATTTGTGAGATTTAGTCAGGACTAGATTACCAACACCTGGTAACAGAGTGTCTGGGAATAAAACTAAAGCAGAGGAAACCAGTTGGAGATGGAGAATCACAGATTTCTGGTGACACTGTGGTCTGCAACAGCTACAAGTCTGTAGTTAGAAGACCTGTGAGCCAGTGAACTTCCTTCTTAAGTAATTTTGAACCGAGAATTTCTCACCTCCAGAGGAGCTCTGCCACCCCTGTTAACCCTACTTAGCTCTAATGGCTACTTTATTTTTTGTTTCTAGAGTCTTTATGAATTTAATTTATGATTTCATTTTTACAAATACTTGCTTTGAAAATGTAATAAACAGTTTCACAGGCATCTGTTTAATCTCCCTAGTCCCAGACCGAAAGCCACATGGACAGAGGGAGGGACGTTTCCTTTCTTTTGGATGCCTTCACACTGCCTAGTACAACACTCAGCCAAGAGCGAGCACTTCATTCATCAGACATATTTATTGAGTGTCTTGTGGGAAAACTGTCTGTGGAGCCAGAAGCCCTACCATGAATCCTGGCCCTGTCACTTTCTATCTCAGTAAGTCCTGGAGAATATTGGCTTGTTGGAAAAGTCATGACATATTTTTTTTTCTGTTTTTCAAAGGTCATTTAATTTTATAAAGAACAATGATAAATCAGTGATATATTATTGCCCATTTTGCTCAATAACCTTTTGCCATCTTTCAGTGAACTTCGTAATTCCTCGTTCATAGAAGGACCTGTCTTTATCAGCGAAAAACTGAACAAGGTGCTGATTTGTAGCCTCATCTGAAGTGAATGATATACCACTCAAGGAGTTCTGAAGAGCGTAAAACAAGTGGAAGTCTGACGGTGCAAGGTCAGGTGAGTATGGTGGGTATGGCTACACATCCCATCCAAGCTCCAGTGATTTTCTATGGGTGATCAAACTTGTGTGTGTGGTCTTGCACTGTCATGATGGAACACAACTCCTTTACAATCAACAAGCTCTGGTGGTTTCTAGATGATGGATTCGTTCAAACTGTCCAACTGCTGACAGTACACATTCAAACTGATAGTTTGTTTCCTTGGTAGGAGCTTGAGAAACACCTTTAAAATCCCACCACACTGAGAGCACAACCTTCCTCTGAGGAATGTCTGCTGTCAGTGTCATTTGAGGTGAATTTTTACATCGGGACCAAGACCGTTTGCACACCACAGTGTTGTAAACAATCCACTTCTCATCACCATTTATCAGTTGCTTTAAAAAAGGATCGTTTTCCTCACGTTTAATGAGCATATCGCAGATGTTTATATGCTCCGTTAAATGAAGTTCTTTAAAGTCATGAGGAACCCAAATATCGAGTATATGTATCTCAGCTTCTTCAGGAGGTCGTGAACGCTTGGATGATAGATGTCCAATGTTTCTGCAATCGCTTGTGTCATGTAATGTGAGTTTAACTTAATCGATGCCTTTATTTTGTCATCATCAACCTCGGTGGGCCTCCCCAACCAAGGAACATCATTGAGATCAAAATCACCAGCACAGAATTTCATGAACCATTCTTGGCATTGACGCTGTTGTAGAGCACTGTCACAGTAAACTGTATACAACTTTTCACAAGCTTGATACACATTTTCCCCTTTACAGAAGTAAAACAGTAAAATGTGGTGAAATGCAGTTTGCTCTTCCACCTTCAACTTGTAAAATCTCCAAAATGCAACTAAATTGCTTAAATTTTTTTTTTAGGATGAAGTTAGAACTGTCAACTCCCAAATGACATAACAATAACATATATGAGAATGACTCCAGTACTTCCAAAAACAAACTAGCGCCATCTTTTGCAAAAATACATCATGACTTTTCTGAAAACCCAATATCTTAAGGCAAGTCTCAGTTCACTTGGTATGAAAAGAAATATAGGGCCAGCAGGTGGCATGATGGTTATGTGGTTGGACCCCACATGGCCAACTGTGCAGTTCAAGTCCCCGACCCAATGGCTTGAAGAACACCACAGGACCATGTGCATGTATGTTTAAAAATATCTCTCTTTTTTTTTTTTTTTTAATTTGCTAGAGAATGTTTGTGCTGAAGAGAGAGAAGGTGAGAAAGTATGTCCCCACTGGGATGGCCATGCCATAACCCCTTCTCTGTTCTCCTCTCGGGATCTTGGGCACGCACGCACACATGCCCGGCATGAGTTTTAAGCCACCAGGTCCGGGACGCGAACCGCGGTCAACTACG